GTGATTTATCTCTTCATGCTTTCATCCGCCCCACTTTGCTCCGATGAAACGGCTATTCTGGGTTTTCCGTCTGCTTTTACGCACGCATCCACGCCAGACAAGATCGCATAATGAGTCAGGGCTCACGGATGGAGAGAGAGAGAAAGGGAGACGGGTGGTGGCTGTGAATGATCGCTGTCTGTTTTTTGAGCTCTTCAGGTGTCTTTGGGGTGGGGTTGGCGGGGTGCATAAAGGGGTTGCTGTAATGTCGATATGATGACAGATGGCCCGCACAAAGCTGGTGCGCATTGTTCAGTTGGGGGGGGAGGTAAGGAAAAAATATATATTTATATATAACCACCATTTATCTGTCTTCACCAAATAAAGGGAACAAGGTCGCTGTCTGGTAAGAGGAATGAATCAAAGTTAGATTACTGGGGAGCCTCGGATAGGAACTGGTGAGCTGCTGGAGCTGGTAAAACACGTAAGTTAAAAAAAAAAGAAAAAGAAAGAAAAAAAACTTTGTTAATAAACGAAATCTTGGCTAATCTTGGAAATAATCGGAGGTCCATTTGCATTCCTTTTGGGAAAAAAAAAAAGTTGAAGCGGACAAAAGCGTGTTCACGCTTCTTGGGTGAGACTGTAGAAGAAATCAGAATAGGATGTGGAACAAAATTCACATGCGCTTACCGCCTGGTCGGAGCGCTGAGCGCCAAACCCAGACGGAGTTTCACCTTCGTTTTACGCGCACATCCAAAGCGTTCATATCCCCCACTACACACATCAAATACGCAAAATCTATTTCTAAGTATCACATCAGTTTCCGCGGACTTTTTCCTCCAACAAAACAACATCTATCTGCTCTTCTGTGTTGCATTCTTTGTGACGATGGCATACTCACAGTGTTTTCCCTTCATCTTTTGATCGGGATTCACCTTCCAGTCGAGGTGGCGGGGACTGATGCTATTTCTTCTTCTTCTTCTTCTTCTTCTTCTTCTGTTTTTTTTCCATCCTCATCACCTCCATCGGAGCCCAAGTCCACACCGCCTGTGTGCGTCTGCCTCCCCTGATCCACAGATTACGCTGCGTTTGAGGGGCCGGAAGGAAGGGCATCCGGTTTACAGGGATCACTGGAGCGACGGGGATTGGCTCGGAAGGGATAGCTTCATAAAAAATAAAAAAAATGCGTGTTTGCCATTGGATGATGGCGACCCTGCGTGTGGGAATGGGAGGGAATGGGGGAGTTGTCCTATATTATTCCGGAGAACTCGGGTGGGGAACACAGGAGGAGGAGGAGTGTACTCTGATGGCAAGAATACAATGCACTTTGTCAGATGTTTTTTTTGTTTTTTTTTATATAATTTTTGTGTTATTCTGATCATTTCATCATAAGAAATAGCGGTCACAATGGACTTAAACTCTGTGGCAGCTTTTAGGACCCCAGGACATCCATCTGAGTTCAGGGTGGTTCTGGAAAATTCTGTACAGCGTCAGCATTTTTTCCCTTATTTTCTGCTTCACTCTTCTAAGTTTGACAGGAATTAAACATATTCAGATGTGGAGGAATTACCACCAGGAATAAATCACATCACACTTCACACCGAGTGTGTTCCTTATTGTTGGATGAAAGCTACCAGCAGGCTGGAGCTGCAGGATTTTTTTTTTTATTATTTATTTATTTTTTTTCCAAACAGGAGCCGGGTAGGAAATGGTGCATGGATAATTCTCTCCTCAGATCTTCACTCTGAGAGTACTTGACTGAATCGATTCTGCTCAAAGCTTTCTCATGTTCCCCACTCTTACATCAGTCCAGGGAGAATCACTTTAGGTAACGACGGTGTAAAACGTCACAGCATCTTTATTCAGAATTAGCAACCCCACACAGTACCTTGGTAAAATTCATAGTCCTTGAACTTTATGATGCTAGAGCCGCAAATTCCAGTGTCTTTTATTTGGCTTTTAATTTGAGAGGCTAATACAAAGCAATGAATGATCACTTAGAGAGGTGGGGGGGGGGGATGTTTTTATTTTATGGCTATGATACATATCAGTTAAATCTTGTGCAACCAACTTCATTAAGTTTGTAATTAGTAGAGCTATATGTGAGGCAATAGTCCTGCTTTGAATGTGTCATCCATCACAGCTCAATCCACCAAAGAAAACTACAAACATCCAGAGATACGAACGCCCATCTAGACTGACAAGCCAGGTGAGAGTCATCAGAAGTAGAGAAGCAGCCAATAGGATCATAGTGACTCTGGATGAGCTGCAGACACCCACAGCTCAGGTGGGAGAATGTTTCTGTCAAAGGAGAGAAAATTGAGTCTTTTCGGTCGACATGAAACATGATTATTGTGATTTCACAAGTACTCTTCGTCTAACACGACTGAGCTTCAGCTGGAATGGGCAGTAGTGTTGGTTTCTTGATGTGTAATTGTTTCAGATGTAACATAAGTGAGTTTCTGAACGTTTGTTTGTGAACGCCACCACTTTATAATTATGCGCTGTTTTGTGTTAGTTTATCAGAGAAAAGCCAAATAAGTCATTAAGGTTTGTGTGGGGAAAATGAGGGTAAGTTCAAGGGCTGTGGATATTTTCATAAAGCAACGTAAGACTTGTGAAAACAAACATTTTGACACTGATGAAACGGACGGCAAGAGCAGACAGATGAATCTTAACACTCTGGCTTTTCAGGCAGAGTGAAGAAAGACCTGCAGGAAGCAGAAATTTGGTCTGAATGTTTCTCTAACTACACAGAGCATTTTTTTGATGAAGATCCCTAATCCGGTAGGGAATTTATCACCAAACTGAGACTCATTCCTGACTTCACGATCGTACCACAGGCTGCAAAACCACGAATGAATTCTTTATTCTTAGACACAGAATGCTCTGTGCTCCCAAACCAGCACCAACTGCATGCTCAGACTCCAACAAAGCAACACATCATCTGATTATTGTGTGAATATGGAGGCTAATTTGCATCACCGGTGGGACCGATTCCCTCAGAAGTACGGCACCTAGATTTATTCAGTATTCAGTTTAATTTCAAACAGCCAAACGGGAACAACAGCCTTGGCTTGATTTCCTTTAAGCCTCTAATCTCTCTTTCCTCTTAATTTAGCCGGCAGCTTCAATCACAGCTCCTTCACAAATCTGACCGAGTGGGTGTTCATGTGTGAGACGTCTATCCTGTGAAAATCTCATAATCCCATACTGGTGCACTTTGTGGTTAATTTCAAACTACAGCTAATCTTCTTCTGCCTGCGTTAAATGAATTTTTACTCTACCTTTGTGAAATTCACAGTTTGTTTCTCTTAAAGGGTTTATTTGATGTGTTTCTCACCAGGTGAGTCTTTTGTCTGCTGCGTATTAGAGACTGATGTCACTTCCTGTTCTGACACCATAAATAAATCTAATATTCTTTAAGCATTTATTAAGAAAACACTAAAGAAATGAAAATGTTATTTTTTTCAGAATGTGTGCACATTATTATAATTTTTTTGTCTGAATTAGCAAAGTAATGTCTGATGTATTTTTATAAAGATTTAATTTTTGTAGATCCTTATAATATTGTATTTGCTGGCATTCAGAACTCCCCAGAATTCAATAATTTTTTTTAAATCTGGGAAAAAAAAATATATTTTTATTTCACTTTTTATTTCGTCTATATTGTCCCAGCAGAGAAATTTATTGAACTCATTAGTTTCCTTTACAAAGATGCTCAGATCAAGATAAAAGCAGAAAAAGGTGCAGAGATGTGATTACATTTACAAAATTACACAAACAATATAATTAAGTTAATAATTAGCAGTATTAAAAACCACTTAGACATCACAAAAACTAACAACAAAATAAACTATATCTATATTTAGAAACATGGACACAGAGGAATTATCTGCATGTCCTGGTCATCAGTCCGTCACAGGGCAACACAATATACCACACACACACACACACACACCAAAAGGACAATTTAGAGAGACAAGAGACAAGAATAGTTATGTTTTAACAGGAAGCTTTTCACTGCAAGCATAAAGGCCCAGCAGCTGCCTCACTGTGGAGCCCGACTCAAAAACCCCGACTCAGAAATATTCTGAGCTACCGTCTAACAAACATATGTCTTCCCTGCAGTATACAGAGCTGTTGATGTTTTTAATGCAAATATAGTGACGATAGTGGATGAAATTTTACGAAAAAGGCCATCTCAGATTTAGATTTTAAAAGGTTGTTATTCAGTCAACAAGTTTGGATCGGATGTGCAAGCATTTCTCAACACTGTAAAAAGGATTACCGGTGATGAAAAGAGTATGTATCTGTTATTTTATTACGTTTTATTTAAAATATTGAAAGTTGATAATTACATAAACCCTTCCTATCAGCCAGCGGAACGTTTTGGTTGGCTGATATTTTGATGGTTTATCTTCAGTGATGAGCTGCAAGTCTTTGAGCCGGGAAGGCCTCCTTTCCAGCACCCTAATCTTTAGCTCGTCTCCAGTCTCTGTCAGACCCAAGACTCTGATTGGGTCAAAACATAAACAAAGTCCTCGGTCAGAAGAAACATGTTGGTAAAATGAAAAAATAAATCTCTTCGGACCAAATTCTTCAAGGGGTATGAATATTTTTGACGTTAGCCAGTGAAGCGCCAAGTCCACTTCATTGGGATTTCTAATTTCCAACATTAAATTGGTACTTCAAACGTCATTATGTTTCATATTACTATTATATTTTGATATCTTGAGGTGCATTTTTAGCTGTCTGTAGGCCGTGTGGTGTTTTCGTACTCTCCTGATAACTACGAATGAGAGGCTCGCTAAGTTCAAATTGTATGAGTTTTACTTCAAACCAGTCAAATGTCCAAAAACAGGAATCAGCACAGAGACTATAAGTGCAGGTTCACATGCTGTTTGTGATAGTGGGCTTAAGCTGGCCTTTTCATGAATGTTTAGTTATAATAGATGGTTTAAAAGACTCCAACCACTCCCTCGATTTCTTCCTTGGAGGACTTAATGAAGGCTTAGTGAAGGAAGTTCTTGAAAATATTGTTTGCGCTCGCGGCTTTTTGTTCTCTCTTGGTCACAGGCTCAAGGTTTTGTTGCACGTCTACGGCGTACTCCATCCCACCCCGAACGGCAGCCATGACACCCCTGTCCCACTGAACAAATGAACAAACAGCTACGTACAAAGTTGTCTAAGTTCAAGCACTTTATTTTAAAGTTTGAGTTGTAAATCAAACGTGTAATGTGATTACTTGTATCTGTTTTAATTAACTGTAATAATTATATAACCGTAGAGATTCCTTAAGTTAGGATCTGTGGAGATGTTTTTAGTCGTCGGTGTCTGCAGGAGAAAATAGTTAAAATAGTAATTATTTACAATTTTTTTGTGTGTGTAACTTTCACAATAGGGTTTAGTGTTTATAGGAAATCTTTATTTGTAGAAAGAAAAATGTAGTTTATTTGTCTGGTCAACTTTTTGAAAGTGATCTTTCAAAAACAAGTATTTTGAAACGTAACTTTCTATATCATTCAAAAAATAAAGAAACAATTAGAAATACCGTTTTGAAAAAAAAACTCTTGTCACTTCTTAACAACAAATGTCACGTCAAACTAGTTTTCACCCTTCTGGGCAAAGCTTTACTGATATTAAAGCGCTCCATCTCATCAGCGCTGCAGGCCTCTCATGCCTGAAGGTCAGGGCTCATCGCGATTCAACAACAGAGAAAGAAGCTGGGCAAAAATGGCACAAACAGGAGCGTTCCACTGCTGACCAAATCAAGCGCTAAGGCTCGTCTCACTTTTCCCAAGAACATCTTCGTTATCCCTGCTGGAAAAATATTGACTCCTGAGGTGAAAGTAAAACCTTTTGTAAGATTTTTTTCAGGCTACATAAAACTAGCGCAGTATTTACTGGACTGTTTTACTGCTTCAGACCCTGAACAACTTGCTGTAAGCGACGGAAAGATGGTTTTTAATTCCCTCAGCAGAAGAAGAATTCCCAGACATCAGATTGTGACCCAAGGCAAAAGAACAAAGAGGGACATTCAACACCAGCAAGTTGAAATGGCACAACTAGCGTTTTAGTTTAGGGCACAATTACTTTCCCACAACAACGTTGGTTTGGATGATTTTTTTTTTCCTCCTCCTTGGTGTAATTTATTAAATGAAAGACTATTATAAAGCACTTTTCATAACAGCGAAGTGTAACAAATAGTGCTTCTTACTTTTGTGATAATTTTGATAATAAGATGATGAAGATT